ATTAGTATATTAAATTTATATAAAGATGTTTATTTTGGTCCCTGGTAAACCTATATACCCAGACAAAGCACTGATATTTAGAATTCCAGAGAATAACAATTATAAATTTTTGGTTTTCTCATTTCTCTCAACAAAGTGAATTTACACTGATAGTTTCTGCACATCCCCAACAGTTTAACCTGGAGACCTCCTAGTTGCTGCCATGTGGAACAGCTCACAATAAACCCTTGTTCTTAATTAATTTACTTTTAAAAGAAGTAAAAATTATTGCTTATTCTTGAGAACATAGTATATAATACAACAGAAAAGAATTCCCGCCCTGCAATAAGCCAGCAGAGGATTTTTTTGTGAAAAATAGTGACAGACATCTTATGTCAAAGACAAGTAATAACGTCTTCACAAAGTCGCAAATTCATTTAAATTTACGCTTCTGTAATAGGATTCCAGTTGATATTAATTTTTTGCCATTTACGAGGTTTAAAACTGAAACTTTGAGGAAACAAAAACTTTGTACAAAAATTTCTATACAGTTTCTGCGTACTAAGATGACAAAAATCGGTTGTAGTGACCCATTTAGCACTTGCAGGTGGTCACCATCTAAAATATTTGTAATGCATGTTGCAAATGATAAATTTGTATTTACAAAGAGCAGTCCCTAGAGCTCGTTCTTTGTAGTGGAATTTACCTTACGAATGAGCAGTAGAGTTTAATCAATAGTACGATTTCAACTATAATTTACTTACCTTTGAAATAAAAATTATTTGAGTTTGAGTTTATGACTGCATATCGAAACCGTCTCCGTAGAATAGACTCCTGCGCATCAGTGAAATATATATGAGATCATATCAAAATTTTTCATCATGTTTTTTTTTCAATGTATTTGACATGCAAAATACATTATAAAATATTAAATAATTCGTTCGTAAATACAAAAAAAAAATAGAAAAAAAGGAACATGTAATAATAATAGACAAAAAAACTTAAATAAATAAGCAAAAACAAAAGGCACGTTCGAAAGGTATTACATAGCCATGACCTGTCGTAAAAATAGAACACCAGATTAAAAAAAACAAATAAAAGTAAAATTCAAATACTGTACTTCTAATTTGACATGTCTCTTTAAACACGGTTCTGGCAGAATACCAGCGTCATGGGAAACCGCGGCATTTATGCTGAGCCAGCACCTTTTCACTACCATGACTTCCAAAACTATTTACTTTAATTAGTTATACAGGCTATATATTTGAAAGTGAGACATATTCATACATGTCATAGTAAATGATGTAACAACTTAACACAGACTAAAATAAATTAGGATATAGGATAGAACAAAACATAAATCGACAAATGTGTTTTGGAGTGTACATAGGAATAAACCGATTCCCTTTACGCTTGATTTCGAGTGCAATGAGAATACTACCAAGCGAGCGCCGAGAGAGACAGCAACAATATCAATGATTTCACATTTCCCTTCCTGCTTTTCTCCTGAAAATAAAAACTAAGTTACTCACCTACTCATTTTGTTACGATGAAAAAAGCTGTTATCAAAATGATTATGTTTTAGCTTATGTTAATTATTTTTTACTTTTAATTGACTTATATTTAATAAGAATTGAGGTTTTTGGCATAGTTAAAAATGTGAAATCAACATTACAATGATTGATTTTTTAGTTATTTACAGTTTATTTACACTTACGTGGTACAGGGCAAAATGTCCAGCGTTTTTCACAATGCATAGTCTCGCACGGCATAGTAAATTTTGTTTTAAATTGTTCAACACAAACACATTATTTTTGACTCACAGTATAAAATGCTAGATAATCCTCTCACGCAACACTTGGACACTGTTCACCTCCTCCGCGTAAACTCCGATTTGGGAACATTTCTCCGAACATTTCAATAGCTTCTTGCCTCACACCATCACCACTACTCGTTCACTGAGAAGAACGAGCAAGAAACTAATTTATCTTTATACTTTATCATATTATTATGTGAACTCATACTTTTACTGTGCACCATCGCACCACTCTTGAAGACTCGTGTTCAATTTTGGGATGTCTAACAGAATGATGAAGATGTTATCTTAAGCTGAATCCATGTGATGATTATTAAGTTGGTTTTATATTTCTGTTACAGCAATTCTTGAACTTAGCAAAGAAAAAGAAAAAAGCAGATTCCCCTCCGCAGTCTAAGTCCAAGGGCAAATCTTCAGGAAAGTCTTCAGATAGTGAATCCGACTGGGACGACGATGATAAGAAAAATTGTAAGTAAACATTATAGCCTATATCATGCTACGCTACGTTAGCTTTTCAACTTTTAGCGCCCAGTTACACGAGGAGAAAGTTCTCGCGTGGCCACCGCGCGGCGACTGACGCTTTCATGTACATTATGACGAATCTGAATTCTATTTACTAGGCAACAAAATTTAGACTCCTCTAAATACCAAATTCAAGCCAGACTCGCCCGCATGCTTAGGGCGCGCATTTCGACCCCTCCTACGTAAAGTACCATATGTCGAAATTGCCAAGTTTACAGGGAAGCGTTTTAAAGTTCTGAATTCACGAAATGAGCAAAACACGTGAATTTAGCATTTCTCAGTTTTATTCGAGAACGAGTTTTAAAGTAACAAGCTTTGCCGAATAAAACTGAGAAATGTGTCTCATTTCAATGAATTCAGAACTTTAAAACGCTCCCCTGTAAAATTATCAATTTCGACTTACGATACTTTACGTAGGAGGTGTCGATTTAAGTTAAAACGTAAAAACTAAACAAATAGAGCGAATTTTTAACCGACTTCAAAAAAGAAGGAGGTTCTCAATTCGACTGTGTTTTTTGTATGTATGTTACGCGATAACTCCGGTATTTGTGCACCGATATTCATGATTCTTTTTTTGTTGGAGAGATGGTACCTTCAATAGTGGTCCCATTTAATTTTGAAGAAATTCATCCACCTCTAAGAGTGGCTGTTCACGCATGAAGATTCATTTTCATAAATAGCGCCTAATTTTTTGATTTTGCTATTCTCTAATTCAAGGCGTTTTTCTCTCTCAATATACATTGAGTAGTGAGAACCGATTTTTTTATCTCTTGTGTCAAGTTCCGTATAGTGGCGAACTAGGGGATGAATCCGGGTTTGCGCACTTTCCGGTAACCGATTTCAAAAAAACTTAGCAAATAGATGTAATTCCACGTACTTTTGAGGTCGGTTTTTTTAGTACTTTGTACTGAGATTTTGCCATGACAGTTAGACGCACTCGGTTGCTGCGCGACGGCGACGCGGACTCCGCTCGGCGACCGGGGTGAGCACGATACAATTCGTGTCGAGTAAATTCGGGAATTAGGGAGCATGTGACAAAAACTCAAAATCGAAAAGGCAATATTTAAAGAAATGAATTTGAAAAATATCTACTTTTCTTTTGCGGTAATTTCATACCTTATCCACCTAGTAAAAAATAAAAATAGTGACATATCGGTCTGTATAACATTTTTTTTTTAATATAACATGCGCCCTTTCAAATAACTCTGGCAGAATATACCTTTGCAGTAAGCTAAAAATTCAATGTAAAGTAGACAACATCTGTACAATAATATCTATTACCATTCAACCACTGGAGTCATCCATATCTTAGCCTAGATCTCAGTCCATCTAACACCCATCTAAGCCCAGCTGACTAACTGAGTAAATCCAAATAACAGCCCGGGGTGATATTTAGTTATTTCGCTTTATACTAATGGTCACTAATGAAATGCTCTTGTTGGACATTAAAAATTATTTAAGCAACACTATCTAACCATACATAGTTACACCAACGTAAGAGTGTCATTTTTCAACCCTGCTATTGGCAGAATCATTGTGTAAAAGAAATTTTAATTTAATGACAACACAGCAATACAGTTTCTTCCGAGACCTCGCGATAGATTAGGAGATGCAATAAATGTGCAATAAATACTACATACTGAATATTAGTAAGAGCCTGTGCACATGGCGTATTTTATAAGCGCAGACGACGCGCGTTTCACGATCGCGCGTTTACGCCGCCGAAGATGTTCGAAAAGCAGATTGTTGCGTTTGTATTAATTCAAACGCGATACATCGGATGAAACGTCGCGTTGCAAGACCGAGGAAATTGGCAGGGGAGTTTACATTTTTTTCTTTTTAAAACTAGCATAAGCAGTGCTGTCTCGACCGACGCCATTATGCTACCATTGAAAGTACGCTCCGTAAATGCCAATAAAAGTTTCACAAACGCGGTTGAAAGGCGCGTTTACGGCGCGTATGAATTTATGAACGTATGCATAGGTTTACTGGCTACGACTGAATCTCGTTTGAATCGCGTTAACGCGCGTCATCAGCGCGTAGTCTGCGCGTATAAAATACGCCGTGTGCACAGGCCCTTATGTATACAATATTAATATCGGGCCGAGTCCCGATAGGACTAATTTGGGAAATGAGCTTTTCTAAATTGGTTCCTGAACCAATGTCGGACGACTACAGGGCCTTCCGACATTCGTCCGAAACAATTACTGGCAAATAAGTAATTCTCGACCAAATTAGAAGCGTGATGCGAATGAAGCTTCATATTTGACATTGTACAACGGGATTTTTAAGCGTGTTAGTAATTGTTTCGGACGGATGTCGAATGGAGAACGCGAGTAGTCTCCCTGGTCTGAGTGTCATGGAGCGCCCCATACTGTAATGCGTTGCTCTGGTACTCATAGTACAAAAAATTTCCATGGGACCATGTAATTGATATGGTTGTCTGGCACATCATTATTCCAAATTCTAAACCCACTTTTTAGAGACCCGTGTCCCAGCAATGAGACGTACAATGAATTGAAGGAAGGAATGATTTACGTGAATACTTTTTTTAAATCAGGAATATCAATATCGCTATGTAATAATAAGGAATGGATGGGGAGCAAATGCAAAACTTGAGAAAGTTAAATTAATATTATAAACTTTTAATAAATAATAAATAAATAAAATTGTTTATTCAGTAACATAATGTACAGAGAAAACTAAAGACTACTTATGCGATTTAATGTAAAAATAACACATGTACCTGAACTAGGAAATTCCTGTATTTCAGGTAAAAAGTACTACTAATTATAAATGTGGATACTATTAATATTATAAATACTTTTTAGGAGAATCTTATGAAATAAAATTAAACAATTAAATAATAAATTGCCATTAAAAAAAAAAAAAAATAAAAAAAAATGTACACTTAAACAAGACAACATTTAATTTACGATAATAAATAAATTCTCTGTATCCTCATAGGACATATTTTGAAGAGCTTCTTGGAGAATTTTCTTTACCTTAAAGCAACAGAAATTATAAATGGAATATTTAGCGTTTAATTTATTGTACAAAAATGGTCCAAGAAACACAAAAAATCTTGAAATAAAAGTATGTTTTGATGATATAATTTTGGGGCAGACAATATCTTTTCGTCTTTTATTAGTGTTTTCAGTAATATATGGGAGCAATACGTGCTGTTTGAGGACTGTGGACTTAATGAATAATTGCCTTACAGTTAATACTTTACATGACTTATACAGAAGGTCAGTGGGGTAACGGAAAGGGCGGTAGGTAGAAACCTTTAGGACAGCTCGCTGGGCTCTTTCAATGATTAGTAAAGTAGTTTTAGCTATACCACCCCATGATGTAATGCAGTAAGTAATTAATGATTGGCATAATGCATAATAAACTTGCCTGATTATTTTAAAATCAGCAGAAACGCGCAGTTTTTTAAACACAAACATTAACTTACGGAGTCGGGCGCTTAGTGCTTCGATATGGTGTTTAAAGGATAGGATGTCATCTAATATAACACCTAAATACTTTATCTTGTTAGTAATAGCAATGTCTGGACATTTACACAGGTTGTTAGTAGGGTCAAAACAATGGTGAGCATATAGTTTAGGGTTAGATATAAATGACTTTGATTTCCGCATATGGAATTGCATAAAACAAGTTTTATCCGTATTTAGTGTTAGCAAATGATGTTGGAGCCAGTTATTTACTATATTGAATCCACGCTGTGCATAGTCGTATACCTCCTTGTCAGAGTTTGCAGAAAAGAGTAGAACAGTATCATCAGCATAGGATATGATCTTTCCACCTTGTAAATCTAGGTTACAAAGGTCATTAATGTAAATCAGAAAAAGTGTTGGTCCTAAAATACTTCCTTGAGGAATTCCAAATGAAGTGCACTTCAGATCAGAACTGTGAATGTCACCTATTTTAACACATTGGGATCGGTCCTCCAGGTAGTTTTCGAGTAATTTAAGCTGTATGCCCCTTATACCAAGCGATTCAAGCTTCTGTAACAGCACAGGGATGTAAACTGTATCAAAAGCCTTCGCTAGGTCTAGAAAAATACCCACAGTTTTGTTACCCTTGTCTAGTTCCCTTGCTACAAAATTCGTAAGGTGATGCACGGCGTCAGATGTCGATAATTTAGATCTAAAAGTATACCCTGACAAATCGTTTGAAGGAATCTTTTAGATTCTATTTGAGAAGTGAATTGTCGAATGGGTTCGTAAAGGGAATTCCACAACTCTGTACCAGATACTGTTAAAGAATTGAAGCGAAAGTCGAAGGTATGGGGGTCAATGCTTTTATGTTGTGTGTGAAATGTGGGCGACAGGGTCAAATTTACGTAGTTTAAAGATAAACGCTTATTGCACACATATTTTGGAGCCGTTCCAATTTATTCAGCAAGGTGACTGTCAAATCCGGGCATTAAACATTTGTATAGTCCAGTACTGGGTGTAGAAAGCCCTGGAGTAATTTTCTGTCTAAAGTGGCATAAAGTTTATAAATCTTCTCAATGAGAAAATACAACCAATATAATACGAACATTCCAATAACAAACACGAAAAATATCCCAATAAGTAATACGAACGTCATGAAAAACCGTAGATGGTAAAGAGTCAAGGTCATCACGTGATGCGAACCAAACCAATGTGTACGTCACCATACTCCGCGGAAGCTTAAGCCGAACAGAAAATGCTTTACGTGCAATTAAATCGGAAAAGCGTTGTACGATTCGCCTGTGTCGAGCATTGTCATTTGTCGTCAACAAAACCATTTTCTTCATAGTAATAAATTGTGTTTTGGACTTGTTAATCTTTAGATCAAACAATTTACTCCAAAGACAATGGATTATAATAAAAATTAAATGTAGATCATTGGTAGCATCTATGGATAAGTCGTTAAGAGACGACTGGGTGTCAATTTGGAGGTAGTCAGACTAAAAATGACAGATAGAAGTGAGTCAGTGTAATAATAGTATAGAAAGAAAACGTGCCACTTTGCTCCCAGCAGAAATAGCGCATCACGTATATAAATAATTACTTTAAAACGAAATTGACCATCCCTCCCTCTTATCCCATCATGATTTCCATCAATCTTATAAAGTTAAAGCTTAAATAATTTTTTTCTTTTTTTTTTTCAGCAAAATCATCATCTTCATCCGCATCAGATTCTGAATCAGACGCTCGTAGTGATACTTCAAAGAAAAAATCACCACCTCGCCGGAAAGGCAGTAAATCTGACATAGAGACCAAGAAGCCAGAGCCGAAAAAACCCGAGCCCAAAAAAGATGTACGGAAGAGTACCGATAGTGCAGGGTCCGGGACCAAGAAAGATGTTTACAGTGAACCTGAAGAAGGTAACTTTAGACTTTTTAATTTTGCTTCCATTCTGTCCCGCTACAATTTAAATTAAGCTTTACACCCACGGAAGAAAAAACAATGAAAGTACCTTAAGCCTCGATTACTGTCAGAACCGCTGTCGCCAAAACTCACACATTTATAATTATAAACACTATGAAATCTTGATAATGATTAATCGTAATTTTTAAGTTAAAGAGAAAACAAATTCTGGACTGTTAATATTATTTAAACTTTACTTTGTTGGCACATCGTTAAAAGTTCAAAACCGTTCAGTATGGTGAAATTACATGCACATGGGACTTGTCAATTTACGTCTCATGGTGACGGGCGCAGTGGCAGTGTCCCTAAATCTTTGCGATTTAAATTCTGAGTGGCACTGCAACTGTTATGGATAGGCGTGTTGCTTACCACCAGGTGCACGACTTATTCGTCCCGTCACTTGGTATTATAAAAAACCCATTCTCGCAAGTTACGACGTTTTGATTTTATATTGAAATTTCAATCGTGCTGACATCTAGCGGCCAATAGCTAAACGACGACGAATTCGCGATGTTTACTTAGATATCTAAAAAAGAAGCGGCCATATTGCAACGAGATAATTGACACGACCATAACGTACAAAGCGAAAAATGGCGGACTGAGCTCAATTATGTGCAACTAAGCGTACTGTTGGCACACGTTTCATGCCAACTTGGCACTTGTACTGTATTTATTGTTCTGTGTTTACACCTTATAATTATGGTTTCTGTCTTCCATTTAATAGTTACAGTAAGTAGGTGATTTTTTTTAAAGTGATGACTATTGATTTTTTTTAACTTTCCTCCTTTAAACACAGGTGAAGTATCATCACATTCGTCTGACAACGATTCCATAGACTCGGAAGAGGAATTTGACGATGGGTAAGCAATTGGAACATAATGCCCCGGAAAAATCGCATCGCGTCTGTTCTAAAATCGTGTCTATATCTGTCTGTCTCTTTCAGATACGACGAAAACCTCATGGGAGATGAAGAGGACAGAGCGCGACTCGCGGCCATGTCAGAAAAGGAAAGAGAACAGGAAATCTTTAAGAGAATTGAGAGGAGGGATCTCATGAAAACGAGGTAAGTAGTTCTTAGGTTTCTCACAAATGGCACTACAGCCAAAAAGCTTTTTAAATAAAATATCAATGTCCGACAACAAGCACATAGAGAAATTCATGTAGACGTCAGCTGATGTTATGGCTAAGAGATGAAAATTTCTATTCAATTAATGACTTCTTTATACATAATTCTCTATAAATTCGACTACTTAACTTATATGACAAGGAATATTTTTATATTGTTTATATTTTTTGACATCTTCATGACGACAGTAACTTACTGTTATAATATGTTATCTTTATACTAATGCCGGGTGCACGAGTTTTTTAACTTGCGTTTTTCTTTACTTGCGTTGGCTGGGCCACGGCGTAGAAATCTGCCTTCCGCGCAAAGGCGTTCACGAGTCTTCCGCTTTGCGTTGCGGAGAGACTTGCGCGCATGCGCGGCGCCTTGTCTATGTTTTGGTTTTATTGGACGCGTGGACACTACTGCACTGTGATTGGCCAGTGGTGCTGTCCTCCGCAAACGTTCTCTGTTGCTTGCGTGGAAATGTCAAACATGCTAGATATCAAACACATGCAACGCAAAGAAATCCAACGCAAAGCTAGCGGCCGGCGCAAACGAGCGACTCGTGAACAGTCCTACCTGCGCGCACAAGACAGACCTTTGCGAAAAACGCAAGTGAAAAACTCGTGCAACCAGCATTAATAGAAGTTTCTTTAGAATTGTTTAGCTGCCAAAATGTTGACATTCAAAGATTTAGTTTTTGCCGATAGCAGTAAAATATTATATTAATAATAAATTATTTATTGAATAACTATTGTACAAAGGAATAACTTAAGGCTAATTATGCGTATCAGCATAAAATATAACACATATACGGGTCGTTTTCAGATAAACTCCAAAAATGTGTCCCTTTCAAAAACTTTTATGTTATTACATGAATGCTAAGCATTATTTATATAATATGATTGCTTGCTTACTTAGTCTGTGTTACACATAGAAAGACTACTTTACTACGTCACAGTAATAAATAAAAATTAAAAAAGTGGGCAATTTCTCATTCATGGGAGCCGGTTCCAGAAGAAGAAAAAAAATTAAACCCTTGGAAATCTCAATATTTCTTATCGAGGATAAACTCTAATAACTTACACGTTGAATACATACCGTAACTTTCCAATTTATTATAAACATGTTTTCTTGGGAATACAAAATGTGTTTCAATTTTTCTTATCATTAGTGTCAATTCAACTAAAATCCTCCTATATCCTAATAAGAGAAGTTCATACCGCATCACCTTCACCTTTCGCACACGTGAGAAGGGGCTCCTGTCGGATTGGAGTGCGGAGATGCACAGTGAAGTAACCTGTGCATCTCCGTTTTAGCAATAAATCGACTTAAATACCAATTTCAGCGCTAGTCACTAAATCGTTCTCATTCATTTAAAGCAATCTATCTAAATAACTATTAAGAATAAGAATAAGAATACTTTATTGCGTAAGCACCGAGACACACATGATCTTAAAATTAAAATAGAACATTATAAACTTTAAACTAAAATACAGGACTTACAACAAAAGTTAAAACATAATTATAATGATTAAAACAAAATAAATAAAAAAAAAAATTAAAAATGTAGTAATAAATGCGTGTCGCGGCGCACGCAAACGGGATTTGCTCAGCTATTAGCTACAGGCTCATAGATTTCAGCCTGTAGCGCTGGTTTTCAGCAAGCCCGATATGAGTGAAGCACGGACTCGAGCACTTTAAAATCCATGCACTTTTATAACGGTCCAGCATATTTTACACACTTGACAATTAAAAATGTATCCAAATATCATTGTCGCTCTCATTTTTGTCTACTTTTAAGTCAAATCGTTACTTTAAGCCATACTTTTACTTGCAATACAACAATTAAATGGTGATAGTGGTGGTGATGACGGTGGTGACGATGATGATGGTGGTGATGATGATGTGAATGGTAATGATGCCGATGATAATGGTGATCATGATGATGATGTTGACGGTGGTGATGATGATATATTGATGTACAACAAAGTTTATATGACATTAACAAAATACTTATTTAGATTTATTTATTAATAACATATAGATAGATAGATGATCTTACACGGATGAGAAGGATTTTGATACAAGAAGTTATATTAAAATATTTGTTACATGTTAAATGTTGTTTTATGAATGATAAAATGTGTGTTGTAATAGTAATTTCTCATTACTGTGCCGTCTTTCTCATTTATGTTTATGATAAAATCATTCGTGTTACTGCAATCTCATTCGTGTGACCTAAAATATCGTTTTTTGTTGTATTTAACTTAAATATTCCTGTGATATTATAATTATTGACTTTGCTTGAACTTATTTATACGTTTAAGACCTTAAAACCAACAGAAAAAAGGGTTTTACAAAAATCACTCAAAAAGTGCCATTGAAATTCGGAAAGCGAAATACACCCATACCTGAACTAGGAGAATCCTGTATTTTAGGTAAAACGTACTAATTATAAATGGTGGATATATGATTAAATTATAAATTTAAAAAAAAACTAAACAATAAAATGCAAATCATGTACCTCTATATGTTTAAATTAGACAACATTTATTTTGGGATAATTAATAAATTCTCTGTATCACCGTAGGACATGTTTTGAAGAAATTCTTGTAGATGTATTATTGTGTATATTATGTATATATTCTTGTGATGTAATATTGTAAACCATACTTTAAGCAAATAAATATCAGTCATTCCGTCATTCATTCATGAGATCAGCTAATTTGTTCCCTAGTTCATTTGGGACTATTCGGGAGAGCAGTTAGCTCTATCAAATGTGCTAATTCACATCCAGCCGGATTGAAGGAAATTTTCTTTGTGTTTGTTCGATATTTGCATCAAAAACAACACCCAACCACAGCCCTACCGCTTAACTGACTCTGTAGTCTTTGCAGTGAAGTATTTTCACAATTATGAACATCATGGTAATAAAAACATGATATTCAATAAAATAAACGAGGTTAATACTATTTTCTAGCAACTATTTAGTTGAAAAGGTGGTAGGTTGCAGAACCCGCTTACGTAAGTCATTCCCTAGTTTGTTCCTCATAGCTGTACTGCTATGTTCCGAGTTGAATGATAGGGAGCACAGACATATATCTAGATAGACGCCACAAGTGTACGTTCTTCGCGTGCCCAAAGTGAGTGAAATGCCGCTGCTACACTTCAGAACGCGCTCGACCATTATCGTAGATAAACACCAGTCGATAAATGTATAATTGTGCCATTATAAACTGAAAAAGCACGATAACTGTGGGTAAACGGGTAAACAGGGACATTTCCTTCCACGACAAGTGATTTTGTTATCAGAAGATGCATAATTTATTTTAAAAACAATTATTTTGGTAATCAACATTTTTTTTAAAACAACTAAAATAAAGGAAGGTCTTAACTATCTTATTCTACTATTTTTCTACTATATTCTACTATTTTTGTACATTATTCTATTTAGAATCGATTACTTAAATTGAATGCGCGTGTTTACGCGCGTACTCCGCTCAGTCAATCGATTTAGAGCGAGCGGAAGGAGGTTTCCTTCACTAAATAGTTCTTGTGACGTCATAGTGGGTACAAAAAATGTGGCACGCTTGGTTTTCATACAAATTGCTCTACTTGCGGCGTCTACCTAGATATATGTCTGTGATAGGGAGAGCCAGTGCAATCACAAGCAAAAGAATCTTAATTATGTATAGTTAAAAGCTTAACTTAGTATAGTACTGTATGTATATAATAATGATATATAAATAAGTTTTTTATTTTTATTCTTTAACTGCCTCCGCGGCCGAACGGTTACTATCCACTGCTCCCACGCAGGGGTCCCAGGTTCGATTTCCGGGCCGAAATGTTTGTATGGCCTACATTTATTTCTCTCGTGAGTTTGGGTGTAATTTGTGGTTGTCTATGTGTGTCTCCATGGCACCTTCGACACAGGGTTTCCCTTGTGCGGGGCGATGTTGAGTCTGTGCGTTATATTATTATTATAACAGAGATGATTGGAAGATGCGATGTCCACAAGAGTAGAACTCATAAGTTTGATGATGACTAACCAGTCACAAACGCACGTAACTTAGAAATGAAAGTCATTACGTGTCTTCTCAATTTAGAAGCAACCATAGTCTTAGAGGCTTGATAAGCTAACTATGGTTTCGTTATAGTATGTAATTATCATCTTCACCATCATAATTAAAGACAAAGGATAAATTCATTCCTTACGTAATTGTACTTTGCGTAGACTGGAATGTATCTTTGAAAAATTTTAAATAAGGTATTTAATTAAATTTTTTATTGAATTGATATTCAATTATTTTTTGTGAAATTACTCCACTAGTTTGTTATAATTATTAATACAAAGATCGAACACTCAGAAACAACAATAGCGACATCTCTCGCTAGGACTGGTAGCTGTAAAGGTACTAACTGGGTGATAAATCTGTCATAGATTTCTCATAGATGGCGCTACGACTAAAAAGTCGTAGACCAAGTACAAAGACACGACGCAAGCACATAGAAAAATTCGTGAGGTCCGTTGGTTCGTTCTGTGGCTTAGTTGGTATAGCGTCTGCCACGGTATGCAAGAAGACGTCGGTTCGAATCCGACCGGATCGAAGGAATTTTTTCTGAGTGTTCGATCTTTGTATTAATAATTATAAGGTATTTAACTTAAAACTTTTGTTGGTCTGGTTTATGACTTTACCACCTCAATCAACCGTGACCATGGGACCTGTAAAGGGTCCGAAATGATGGATCCTGAAAATAGATTGTTTCATTATTATTATTTATTTTCTCCACAAAATTAAAACTTTTTTGACAACCAGAATATTTTTTTCCTTCTACAGATGGGAAATAGAACGCAAACTCCGTCTTGCGAAACGCTCAGCAGCTGAAAGGTCGGCGTCGCCCGGCGAGATCGCGAGAAGACGCGATGCGAGAAAGCGGCGACGAGCGCAGAGAGAGAAAGAAAGGGAAAGAGAACGTGAGAGACAGAGAGAGAAGAGAGGTTAGTAGCGTCATATAGGTCGAATCAATATCGAAGCAAACTATTCTTAGTATCGGTACGATGCGACAGACAGTACAGAAGTCTAATTCCTGTTCAAAGCTCAGTTTTCTTTCCACAACTTCGAAGTAAACATTTTGGACACAGTTCGTCCAGTCTGTATCGAATCACTCACAGTCTTCTCTTGCAAAAAAATTACTTAGTAGACAACGCAATAGGCCTCGGGTAACGCAATAGGAATTGGGCTTCGGATCTACACACTCACACGTCTGATTAAAATGCTCTTTTTAACCTTGTTTCTTTGTTTGCAGAAGCAGAAGTGGAAGAACAAAAGAAAGAGCCGGAGAAAGAATTAGAAAACCCTTCACCAAGTCCAGGGGAGATCGTTGATGAAAATAAAGATAATGGTAATGCGTTTATTCGAAGTTTTAATTAATGATAATTCAATGTTTTTTTAATTACATAAAAAAAATTAAATATTAAACTAAAGGCGAGCTAATTATACTTAAAATAATCAAAATCAATAAACAAAACTACCATTCATTCGCAAGACAGATTCTCTGAGAAGAATGAGTAAGAAACTCTAGGGATTGCTCTTTGAAAATAGATGTATCAATCGTCTCATTGCCATAGATTTTTCACATCCAAGTACGAACTAGCCATATAACTAAGTCTTAGAGTAATACATCGTATGTGATTTCTGGGGAATTTTTCAGGTCGAATATAAAAATGTGGTGTAAAATGAAGCAATAATGTTTGTAGTTGACATTTTAATTAGATAAATTATACCTGTTTTAGATACTATATTACTTTAATAATGTATTTCAGCGAGAAGCTTATAAGATTTTGTTCAACAAAAATCAGTAAGAACGAACTATGTGAAAACTCGAGACTTTTCACTCTTAGGCGACGATAAATTTTTGTATAGTCTTTATTGCAAGAGAACTACGTACCCGTTTATTTGACTTTACCCGAAACCTCATAACTGCATTAATTACACATATTTAAGGCAAACAACTTTTCTTATACGGCTTTTGGAGATCCATATTTTTTTTATGAGAAGTCACGAAATGTTACCAAGTTAACGACGATTTTGTTCTTCTACAGAAGCCCCGGACCGCTCAGCGTCACCTCTGTTCGGTGCGAAAACGGAACGTAAGCGTAACGTTGACGACCGGAGGCAGAACGCCATGGCGGCGTTGAGGGCGCAGCGAGACGCGAAAGCGACTAGAGTGGAGCATTTTAAACAGAAACGGAGATTGGAAGAGGAGAAGAATAAAGACAAGGAAGAGGAGGATGTAAGTATAACGAGGCTATGTTTTTGTGAAGAGGAGTAGTTTAGAGGATGAAAGTAACAAGACTGTGTTATGTAAGGGGGAGGAGTAAAGAGGAGGAGTAAAGGGGAGGATAAAGGTAATAAGGCTGCACTATGTAAAGGGAAGGAGTAGGTAAGAAGATGAAAGTATTAAGGTTGATTAGGTAAAGGGGTGGAGTAAATGTGTAAAGTGTATGTGCAGGTAGGAGGATGAAAGTAATAGTGTTGTGTTATGTACAGGGGAGGAGTGGGTAGGAGGTTGAAAGTACTAAGATTTAATGTGTACGAGAATGAAAGTTGTATATGCCAATACTACGCTGTAGTATAGACGCCTATCTATTAATAGATAAGTGTGTAAAAAGTTTATTGGTAAAGATACAAGGTAAACGAGGCTGTGTATCTCTTACGTGGTCGTTAAGTTGTTAAATGTCTAAATGGACTGAATGTTCGTTAAACAATAATTTAATTGTGACATAAGCTCACAGGTACACAAACGGCCGTGGAAAGTAGAGCGCAAAATAAGCTAAACTAAAATGTGCGGTTGTAATCCGTACAAAATTAAGAGATTTTCGTGTTATATATACGGAAAGATGGGAGGATGGAGGTATCACGTTTGCGTTATGTAAATGGTAGGAGTGAGGTCAAAGATTTAAGGCATTTGAATTGTACGTTAACAATAATATTTGTTGTTTCAGGACGCGGATGCAGAGATCATAGGCGGTAGTACTAGTAAACAGAGTGTTAAACTGAAAGCTTCGGACATCTATTCTGATGATTCGGGGTCCGATTCTGATGACAATAAGTCTACTGGTAAGTTTTTTTTTTGTTATTTTTATAACGACTAACGGTGGTCCATGTTGGGAAGTTCACATCACAGACGTGTATACAACAAATTACTATTGTACACAATAACAAACAACAGTGTACAATATGAAACTCAATTATTTTCACAAATTTAAAAAAATACACTCAAAGTTAGTCAATTTATTTTTGGCAGAATGGTGTTTATTTAAATATCTTATCGATATTTGTTCTGGTCCACCAGGCCGTCGCAGCTCCTCAAGTTCCTCATCGTCTGGTGGCGAAGAAGAGGAAAAAAAACGGAGAGAGGAAGAGATCGAAGTCAAATACGCTGACAGCAAGGATCAGATCAACAAACTTAGGCTTAGCAGGTATCGTCAAACTAAACCTTTTTAAGGTTCTCTCCATTATACGTACACACAAGATAGATAGAGATACGTGTCACAAAAGAAAAAAACAACAGCAGTGTTTAAACCTCGAATACTATCAAAACCGCTGTCGCCAAAACTAAAACATTCATAATTTCAAACATGTTTGAAAAACTATGAAATCTTTATAATGATTGGTCATAGTTTTGAAATTTTAAAAGAAGTAACAACTGTTAATATTATTTACCCTGTTGGCATATCGTTAATCAAAGAGTTTAGTAACTAAACGACGACGAATTCGAGATGTTTTCTTAGTTATCCAAAAAAGAAGCGACTGTATAAGGTTTACTTTCGTAACAACAAATATATTTATATTATCGCAATAAACAGAAAATTTAAAATTTATTAAAATGAAATAAGACTTAATTATATGAGGGACCGGCTTGTGTAGCTTACCGTCGGGCACACGGCTTGTTTGTCCCGTCGCTTAATATTAAAAAA